GGGATTACTATTTAGAATCAATAAAAAGTAAAATGAATCTATGAATTGAAAAGTACAGTGTTTCTCAAGCCTAGAAGAAAAATAAGGAGGGTTGTTGGGGTTGATCAGAGCTCGGCTAATCCCACCGTCTACGAGAACTGCCTCGGGGAAGACCCAACTGTTAATTCTAAAACCCGACCTGTAGAGTTTGCGAGAGTTTTCTTTTTCTACTTGACCCGGGGAAGGATCTTTGGCTGCGGTGGGTGGCCTTCACCAGAACCCCTTAGAAAAGTCCTCGGTGAGGACAAAAATAAAGTTTCGCTTCTACTTCTTTATTGAAAAAGAAGCGTTCACCACTAGTTTTAGGACGCTAGTGTTTCTGTTGAAAAAAAAAACCAGTTTTTCTCACTCCCATTGTTCTTGATGGTGTAACAGCGGCGAAAGAGGTTGACTGTGAGGGTCAACCCTTGTTCTTGGTAAAGCAGCTCGAACCCGACGAGGATCCGAACTACATTAGGAACCAACTGGGTAATTCTCATACCCCAATATCTGAGGTTGTTTCGGAAGAATCTCATAGTGGGCATCCTCAACTCGATTTCTAGTTGGCCCGTGTAGATGGGCACCCTGCCATTCGAGGCTGTTTGGGTCGCTTTGGACGGACAGATGTTATAATACTAGCAGAAAAAATACTTGCGGATCACTTCGTTTGTCGTAGTCATACCGATCACACTGCTAAATGAGGGGAGTTGGCCAAAGTCTATAGCCGAGAGGTCAGGAGGGATGGCTGGCTCCGGTACTCCCTCATCCCTGGGCACTTCGGATGCGAGGGCATCGTTGTACAACATCTCAGATCCTTATTGGCTCTGATTTTGTGAGGTCTTGTTCCTGCCGGACACCTCGGCTGCTTCCTCCCCCGGGTTGGACGAAGTACTTTCCTCCTCCTCGATCGGGTCGGGTCTCTCCGCCGCGTTGTAGTCCGACATGACTGTATCTTTGTGTGTGTGGGGTACCCGAGCCATATTTAGAAAAAAAGGAAAGAAGTGGTGAACTTGCTATTTGCTGAAAAAAGGGCTGGGGTTAGCTGCTGCTGAGACACCTCGGATAATTGCTCTGATAGATGCTATAAATTTTCTTGGTAAAGGGTAAATGGCGAGAGGGACCCCCTATTTATACAAGTATAATGGGAAATGAAATGACAGCGCGTTTGGAGTTCCCCAGAGACGTAGTCTCTCTCCTCATTTATGACTAGCCGTCGCTCTGACCACCTGTCATGCACCTTTCTATGCTCTGTCATTAAGTATGACGACCATCCCGTCACCCCTCATCTTATCCTACCCGCTCGTACTTGACGTGTCATCATCCTGACACACTAATTATCTGCTGTATTCACACAGAAGCCCCAGAAAGCAACAAGTAACCCATTTCTTTCCGAGGCTTGGGAGGTTTATTGAGAATGGCCATTTCGGCTCGACTCAATGATAGGGTTCTGGTAATGGTAATGGTCACCTCGGTTCAGTGTGATAGAGTCGAGGCCATCACACTTATTGTGATGGCTGTTTGTCCTGATCACCTCGGCTACGCATCACCTATGGATAGTTGAGGTGACTACCATGACTATTATCTTGAAGTAGCACTAGGACTGACATGACAATTGAAGTCGAGTCATAAATTGACACTCGTAGAAAGACAAGACATCTGATGAGACCTGTCCCTTGCACTGATCTGTCAAATCAGATTGATACGCTCAGTCTGTTGGATCCTAGGAACTTGGATCCCACTATTCTTCCCTCCAAATTGTCCCATGTAAATACCGGGATTTCTCACTCAAAAAGGGGACGAGAACTATTCTGTAAGAATCACTCTCTAAAAACTCAATTACCTCCCATCCTTATCGAAACTCACTAGATCGTCGGAGGAAAATCGGGATTCAACCCCACCTCTTATAACTTGAGCATGTGACTTCCGTGATGCCATACCTCCTTCAGGAAATCACTCCAACAGTTTGGTACAGCTCGTCCAACCGAAAATCATCTCTTCAGTGAGTATTAGACGTCTGATGTTTCGAAGAGCGTCTGATACAAGCGTCCAATTGTCTCAACAATTTTTGCTCCATTTATTGAAATATTTTCTTCATTCTTTTGGACTTGACACCTGTTCTGAACACTTCCTTATATGAAATCATTAGTTCAAATCATCATTTTGTTTTGTTATCATCAAAACTTAGAATTGATCAATTTAAGTCTTCATGATGTTAGAACTTGGGCTAAGAAAATTGGGACCAAAACCGTATTTTAACTTTATTTTCTTTTAATATGTAGTTTTGGACATTTTTATGTATTTTAGGCATTCTCTAATCTTCTAAAACTTTGTTTGTGATAAGTTCCTAATAATATTTGTAATTTGCCCTCTAATTTTTGCAAAATTAGAGTAAGACCCCAAAAATTGTGAAAAAAATGCATAAACTCCTTTTTGGAGTCTTGGTCTTTTTTTATGATGCTTATGCATGTCTTGGTGAATTAATTCCGACTTTTCAAGTATAATTAGGGTTTGAGTAAAGTTGTTAAGTTTAGGATTTTAATTTGACAATTTTAGAAACTAGTGCGAATAATCCTTTGTTTGTAAATTTCTAAATCACTTTGGTAGTCTAATTATAGGGTTGTCAACAGTTCGAGTTTGGACCTGGACTTGGCTAGAACCCGCTAATTTTTTTCAGGTACAAGTTGGGAAATAATCCTGTTACTCTAACCCGAATCCATACGCGGTTCTCTAACAAAAAAAGATCATATACGGAATATAGAATTTCGACCCATATTCAACTCGAACTCGTTTAATATATTAATAATTATAAAATATAAATACTTCTAAATACAATAATAATTCTTTTACAATAAATACTTTTGTGTAAGCCAATTCATACACAAATTTTGTCGGATCTTATTTTTTTTGGGTAGACCCAAACTTGACTCGAGACCCATCGGACCCAGTTCCGGAACCGTAAGCACAAGACCCGTCAAGTTCGGAATTGGTACATTATAACGAGTCTGGGTTTGAAATTTTCAATTTTGGCCCGTACTCGACATGTTGACAAGCCTATCTAATTAGTCTAAATTTGAGTAAATTATGAATAAAAGGTTAGTAAATAATTTATTTTTGCAGAATTTATATTTTGGCCCCCTAAATTTTAATAAATTTACATTTTGGCCCCAAAAACTTTATTTACTTTAGTCCCTAAGCATCTTTGTTGCCCTTATCATTAAAAATGTTCTTGGCTCTTTAGTCCTTCATTCATGTTTAGAATGTTAGTTTATTATTTATCGTGTCACATTAGTGAGTTTCTTTTTAATGAATTAATTTTTTTTATCTCTAACAATTAATTATCAATTAAATTGGTGTTTTGATACTGTTGTTAATTTTGAGTAATAGATAATTCTTCCTCCTCTCATTTGGTCAGTATTTCAAAAGGAATGTATCCCTATTATCATTTAAATTTTAATTACATGCTCTTATATGCTCCTACGTGTTTTATGTAATTTTTATTTTTCTATTTATTTACTTTTCCCTTGTTCATTTCTATGTTTATTCATGTATTTCAAGTCTTATAATTATTTAGAATGTATTCGAATACCTGAGATGTAATAGATGGGTTCTATTTTTTTTTTGCAAAATTTGTAATTAAATAGGTAAATATAATAGATAGGTTATATTTTGCAAACGTTTTAACTACATTGACAAATGTAATGGAGATGTTAGATAGATTTATTTTCTTATATTTTCCCTTTTAAATTTTAATTAGGTTGCTCAACGTAATAGTTAGGTTTTATGTGTTTACATAGCTTAAGTGTTTATATGCTTATATGCTTTATCCACTTTCATTAGGATTTTTGTACCTAGATATTATACTTATGTTTTATTTGTTCTATGTACTCTTATGTATTTACTTATTCATACTTTTTTTGTTTTATTATAAACTATAAGCGTGTGACATTACGACACTAATCTAATGCTAATTATGACTTCTCTTTCCATTTCCTTACTAGTTCAACACTAGTAAAAATAAATTAATCCAATGACCCTTCAATCATCCACTCGTTAAATTCATTCTTTGTGTGTCATTCACTAAATTCTCATGCATTTTTCTTATTTTTAGGTTATTTTTCTCATTTGTATGATATTTCCTATTATATTATTATCGTGAACCATATCATTTAAATTTACATTTCACTTAAAAAATAAATTAATTCAATTGTTTGTTTAGATTAGAAATGTCACCTTTTAAATATGAGAAATAAACGAATATAACTTTCTTAACCTTAAAATGCTATTACTCCTCTACAAAAAGAAAAATTATCTCACGAGTTTTAATCCCCCATATTCATTATGTTACATTTCCTTTTTCTTTGGTCACTTTTATTTATATATACATGTTTTAATTTTCTTTTATTTTCTTCAAGTTTTATATTTGCCTACTCGTGACCCCTTCAATGGATCATCATTGAATATTGCAACTAATAAGTTGATACCAATTAGACCTTGAAAGGACATTTCATCCCTCCCAGTACCCCATTTTATTTTTGAAAAATGGGGCGCAACAAAGAGCATGCGAAAATTATCCAGCGTAGTAGCACCTAGAAGCAGCTTATAAAGCACATCTTTAGTTCCTGCACACACTCTTTTCATAAGTCCATGTAATAGACATACCTTCCTCGCAAATATGATCCGATCACCCAATATGTTTGAGGACAAGTGACAAAATGCAACATAAATCACATTGATAGTGAAAAAAAAAAGGTCTTGAAACTAGTACCCGCGGAAAAAAGGCTTCTTCCAAATTTTAATCAGAAAAATGCATCAAAGTGAAAAAATAAATAACTTCAAAAACAGCTTTGCAAAATAAAAAAAAATTAAAAAAAAAACCCCCGCAAAGACAGTATGAACTAGATATAAAGATCAGCAATAAGGTTTGATCATTGCACGAAAATTGTTAGCAGCTGAAACAGAAAAGTAGTAACCCATGCATCTCGAGGAGGCTGCGAATGTTAGCTTCAGTGAAACAACACTTGACAGGCTATGTTCTATGTTCCCTGTAGTTGTGCAACTCCAGTATGGTTGGTTAGAGTGTTCAGAAATTACTTACAATCAAAAGCTAAGGTTAAAAAAGATCACAGTGCAATAAAATGCAGATATGATATGGTACATACAGAAGAATAATAACCTTAAGTATTAATTGGTCACCCATTTTCGCTCCCTCCAAGCTGAAGATTGACCGAACACCTGATTGCACAAATATCGACAATTATAACTTGTAGTCATATGATGTTAAATATGGCAACTGCCTCCAAAAATAGTTAAACAGATCTAGTTGCCAGAATGCCAAACATTCGCAGTATACAGGATTCAGGATGTTAAATTGTTATTCAATCCTCCAAAGAAGAAAAGAAGCAATAGCTTCTGCAAACAAGGGGAAAGACAAACTCTGAGGATTCAAGGACAACCAGACAACCGCCTTTATTCTAAAACTCAATCCATCCAAGACGTTCCCAAAAGAAACCAGTGAATTTCAAGACACATTTATGACCCTCACCTCTTTTAAACATAAGGAAATAAAGATAATAAAATAAACCACTGAAATGCATCAAGATTTCAATTCTAGAACTCTTCTCATTATAAAAGGGGGCCAAAAAATAAATAAATAAAACACCCCAAGCTTGCGGGATGAATATCAGTCATCACAATCACACAAACTATATGCCTTTCCATGGTCAAAGACAAACTATAACTGACAGCAGTACTGAAGGAAGGAAGAATCAAGCAGAATTGTGAAAGCTAAACAACAGGCATGCAAATGTCCTGGACAAATAATCATTCAGCAACTAAGTTTCAACTAGCGGACGCATATTTACAAGCAGAATGCATGAAATTCTTCAAAAAAGCATTGCATACCCATTCCAGCTCAGATTTAGATGAACATGATCCAACAACCAACCAAATTCAAATCCAATTCACAAATGCCTTGGACCGGTATCTCAGGCCAAATGTCTTTCAACTTAAAACTGGCTTTGGATTGGATGTTAGACCAAAGTTCATCCAGATTGGGGTTTCCTTAAGATGCAACTTGGTGGGTGCCATGAAGGCTCTATCTTGTGTAGACAAAATTGCAGCAGCCCCACTAGATATAAGCAACTACTACAGTAAGACAACCAACTCAAACACTACAAGAAACTTTCCAATTTAATTAGAACTGGAACTAGAGGCAACCAACTCAATAACCAAGACCTACTAATCGACTGATGAAGAAACGAATTCTGCCAAAGACAGATTAGTTTGCAAATTGCAATCACTCAAGATTATTGATAACACTTTGACAACATCGTAAACTTTGACAAAAAAGCTAAATAAAGAGATCAATTAAGCTAGTTCAAATATTCCAACACCACTAATCAAGGTATTTACCCATTTCATTAATGCACCGATAAGACCACAGCAGGAACATACAATTATTCAGGGGCAATGTGTCCCATAGTTCCCTGGACTTAAGTTGCAATCTGATAATTTTGTATCCACCGAAGAAAGCTTCCAAGTTATCATCCAGATGGATGTTTCCAGGCTTTAAATCAGGGTGAACAATTTTACCATAGCAATGCTCATGCAGGTACTCCAGGCCATGTGCTGTATCAAAAGAAATTCTTTTCTAGTACATCAGTCCAGGCCTTTTTCTCCAGGTTTGAGGTCTATTACAGGCACAAATAGATACTTTACAATTACTGAAAGGTCATTCATATCACTGCAGATCATGCCCAATCATAACTAGCAAAAACAATGAATACCTCCCAATTCCACCTCAGTGACCAATAATACCTTGTCAAACAATTTTATGACAAACAAAAAATGGTTACTGGTATTCAAGATACACATTCACTATTTCCATTCTATGCTGAGTATCTTCCCAGTAAATAATTCAAATTTACCACATACTGTAGGAATGAAAATTGTGACAAAATTCTTCACAAACTGAACCAGCCACGCAGAATAGATGCTACTACAAAAATCCAATTTATAGAAAAGTTTTATCACAAACTTGTTTCCTGCATTCAGAAACAAGATTAGTTTTTCCGTCTAAAATTGGGAATCCTCCTCTAAAGCTATTAGAAAAGATAATTAAGTTGTCCATAGGACAGTTAATGAACATGATTTTGAACCGTTGTAAAACAGATCTCTTGCATAAAACTTCAATGCAAGACTTGTCATTCAATGCTTGTCACCGAGAAATAAAATAAATTAAATTAAAATTAAGACTTGCTCTTAATTTTCTCACAATTCAATTTGAACTAATGTTATTTAAGATGTGGTTTGAAGTTAAAAAATCTTCCCCGATTTAAAAAATTAGTCTTGATCACTTCAGCCAATTCCTTTCATATAAAATTCATCATAACTATTTCCATATGTTTCAATACCTAATCAATACTTAAAAAGTTTTTTGGATCATACTTAAAAAGTTTGGGTTTAGTCAAATGCAGTTAAAACAAATCAATAACCATGCCTATTTATGGGACCTCAAACTGTGAATCCAAAGCAAGAAACTGGTCTAGAAAATATTTACACTTTTGAACTGGCTGCACCTTTGGCACCATTTAGGAATTAAAATAAAAAGTAACAATTTTATCTTAGAAAAAATTTTCTCAAAATTACAGAAATGCAGCTTAAAACTTCTCTAGAAATTCAAAGTCACAAATTATATTTGCATATGCCATTTCGTTTCTTATTTCCAATAAAATCAAATATTAGTTATCCAGAGCAAAATTTACAGGCAAGCTAAAGTACCAACACCCATGAAAAACGAGAAAAAAGAACCTGTACAAGTTACCACTTAAGTGATATGCCACACTGAGGTTCTCCATGGAAAGATCGACAAGAGGTCGCTCATAAGAAGTGGTACGAATCCAATTAATGGAAGCAGATTTCTTTGATCTGCTACACTTATCAATTGAACTACCCCAAGCAAAGCGGCTTCACCACCAAACTGGAGATCTTTGAGGTGTTTCACAAAATATGACCAACAGATCTCCTCTAAGGTTCAATTGCATCAAAGATGATAAGTGACAACAGGATCCAAATGTTAGTTTCAACAAATTAAAGTTTAGGGGTCAAAAGACACCAGGGCCAACATGTTACAACTAATGTGAAGGTCCTCTTTGTCCCCCATCCATGAACTTCTTGCTATCAGGATCAGTCTTCAGCATTAACATTAGTAGAGAAGGATTGCTCTGATTTCCAGCGGATGAATCAAGCAAAATGGAAAACGTAGATGCATCCAGCAAGAATCCTTTGTGAACCATTTCTTCATAATAGACCACTGCATCATCATAATGACCTCCCTTAAGGAGTCCTTGCAGAATGACATTGTATGTAACACTATTTGCCAAGCAACCCTTCTCTTCCATTTTTCCAATGAGCTCTTTAGCTTCGATGAGCAGACCTTCTGAAAGCAGGCCAGAAATCATGGTGTTGAATGTTATGACGTTAGGGTCCAATCCTTTAAGGGAGAGATTGTTGAAAAGATCTCGAGCACTATCGAGCCTCCTGCTTTTGCACAACCCATCAAGCATGATAGTGTACATTTTTATGTGAAGATTTGTTGCATCAGTTTCCATTTCATGGAATAACTGCAATGCTTCATCGATATGTCCAGTCTTGCATAATCCATCCAGTACCACACAGAAAGTGAGAAAATCAGGCTTCATGCCAGAAGCTTGCATCTCGTTGAAAATTTCTCGAGCACTAAGATACCTTCCGGAACTAAATAACCCCTGCAAGACAGTGGTATAAACAACAATATTAGGTTTTAAACCTTTATGCTGAATCTCTCGAAAGAGATTCATGGCTGCTTCCATTTTCTTGGTCTTGGAATAGGCATTTATTAGAATACCATAGCCATGGAGATCAGGTGTAAGGCCGCTAGCAACCATGGTATTGAAAACTCTCCTTGCGTCATCTATTCGCCTCTGTAAACAGTACCCATCCATTAAGGAACAGTATGTGACCAGATTGGGATTTTGACCTTGCTGGATCATGATCTGGACTACCTCTTCAGCATCTTCTATATGCCCTTCCTTACACAGTGCATCCACCACAATACTAAAAGTAATAACATTCGGAACAATTTTATAAACCTTCATCTCAGAAAAGAGCTTGTCAACGTCCTCCCATCTGCTTAAGTTGCACAGACCTTGAATCAAACAACTGTAAGTGACAACATTTGGTGGAATGCCCTTTTCAATCATCTCCTGCAAGAGGGCAAGAGCTTCAACAACCATTTTATCCTTGCACAAGCTGTCAATGATTGTACTGTACGCATGAACGTTGGGCTTACATCTTCTTCTTTTTTCCATGACTCTTAGGCATTCAATGGCCATTTGAATGTTCCCCACCTTACAAAGCCCATCTATCACAATCAGAAACATAACTTCATTGGGCTCGCAAAGTTTTTCGAATATTATCTTCTTAAACAATTCTTGTCCCTGGGGGACCCTATGTTCTCGAAAGAGTCCTTTGAGTAGAGTACTAAAGGTGACTACATTAGGGACAAGACCACGCTTCATGAAAGCAGCCAACACAGTAAACCCCAAATCCACTCGACCCAAGAGGCGGTAACAATTAATCACGACATTGAGGGTGGCCTCATCAGCAGGAATGCCCTTGACACACATATCCCTAAAAAGGGAAATAGCAGATACATAATGATTCTTCATCTTAACAATACGGTCCAGCAATTGATTGAACTGAATAACACAAGGCAGAGGCCTCATCCGGACCATCTGCCGGTACAAGCTCAGAGCATCATCAAGACTGACGACATTATTAATATCATTCCTCAATCCCGGTTGAAATTTCAGAGCTTTTCCAGAAGAACTCTCAACTTTGCCACTAATAGCAGAATAAAAAGCTAATTGGGGTTTAGGGTTTGGGAATGCAGAGAGAAATGAAGCAAGAGTAGTACACCTAGCAGTAGCAGTGGTACCTGATGAAGCCGCTGCTGCTTCCTGAGACTGAGCAATGGAAAGAATTATGGCAGAAGAAGCTCTTCTCTGCATCGCCATCATCTTCTGCTTCTACATCTCAAATGTGAATGAATGAATACGCGGTTTATCAGAGCTTAATTACTGAAATTTGAATTAATTACTTGAAGAGTTTTGCAATGGCTTAATTTTCCATGCGAAATCTAGTGGAGTAATTGACTATTTGACCGGTGTCTTCGCTTTCGACTATATTCTAGTGGTTAATTGTTGATTGCGGAAAGGTTAGGTTGGGTGATTAAGTTAAAAAAAAATTGCAAATGAGAGATTTTGGGTTCAAAATACTTTTACTTATTAAAAAATGTAGAAGTTTTACGAGCCAACTTAATCGAGATTTGAGAAAGTAATGCTTACAAAATATATTTTGTTGTTGGAATTGAATATGTCTGTGGTGGAGGATTTTTAAGTAGTACATCTTTACCACACGTGGACCCAAGTGAGTAATCATTATAATTGCAATTTCATTTAAACAAACCAAATGTTGATTTTTTTAAAGGATATAAGGTTGTTAATGGAGAGAAAGTATTACAAAATTTTCGTTGAGGACAAAAAGCAAACTTAAAGCATTTTTTTTGGTTGATTGTAACACGAAATAAGCAAAATCCAAATACCCAGTTGATCCCATCGATTATTTTCAATAAAATGTGTCACCTAATAAAAAAAAAAAAGAATTTTGTTAGTTGCATATTGTACAATTTACATACATACAAACATATCCACACATACTTGAGTCCTGACTTAAATTGTTGAACCAAAATTGCTTTGCATCATTAGATATAAAACTTACATGTTTAAGAGAAAAGAAAAAAAAAAAAAAAAAGAGTATGTGGTTTTCCATTTTTTTATTGTATATAGTTTCTAAGTCGAAAAAGACAAATATAACATCCAAATCCTTGGTTACATGACTTACATCCCTCTCTTTGTCTATCTATTTTTTTTTTCACATTCAAAAGCAAATTAACGGTAGGCAGCCAAAAGTATTTAACCCCATGCAAATCAATAATGATGCTTAGCAAAGTTGGCCATAAAATCTCTACTGTAATAAACTCTCTACGAGCTATGGTGTTTTAAAAAAAGTGTAACTAAATGTTTTTTTTTGTTACCTATTAATTGTAGCTCACATGTTCAATTATCACGTTAAATTAACCACCACACTTACTAGACTTCCTTGTCCTCCCAACATCATATTGTTCTCATTTTCTATTTTATAATTAAAAGCATAAAAATGTTTTAGTTGACACACTTAATAAATCATATGCCTTTTTTGTCCTAGTTTGATATCATTCTTTATCTTATATCACATGCACACTGTTAAGAAAATAAAACAAGACAATAGACTAATGCAGAAACTTCACTAATAAATTTCACAAAGATAGGAGATTTGTTGAAGATTCTTGAGGCGTATATAGGGATGTAATTGAGTCAACTCGAGCTCGACTCGACATGTAAAAAATATACTCGAACTTGAGTGAATAGTATCATTAGAAGTCGAATTTGAGCTCGATGATTGCTCACAGAACTCGATCTCGACTCGCATTGGCTCGAGTCAATGCGAGCCTTATCAGGCTCGAGTTCAAAAATTTCATTTTTTTGACAGCCCTTTAAAAAATTTCATACAACTAGAAACATTTCGTAAATTCAACAACTTTTTTTGGCATAAAGATAATTTCACAATAATAATATATTAACGAATTAAAATTAAAAAGCTCGATAAGGTTCGACGAACCTTCGAGCATTGTATCTGGATACTTGAATTCGACTTGCTCGGCTTATTGAGCTGCTAGAACTCGACTCGAACTTAATCAACCCGAGTCCGAGTCAAGTTTTTGACCGAGATGCTCGCGAGTAGCTTTGTTCGATTACAGTCGCGAGCAGTTCGGTTCAATTATAGCCCTAGGCATGTACAAACACTATCCTTAAGATGTTTATTGCCCCATTATACTTAGTAGTTTGTTTCTGAGTTAAAGCAATATATCTCTAGGATACAACAAAAATGAAGAACTTTTGACAGTAAAACCAAAAGGTCTTTTACTAAGAAAGAATCAAAATAACTAAAGTTAGTTTGTTTTTACTAAAAGTTTGTCATTTATATAGGAAAGACAATCCAAAAGATATCAAAATTTAAAAGCCACAATTTCCTTACTTCAATTATCATCGAGAGGCTGCTTTAGTTTTCTTTATGGGCAAAAATACCAAAACCATTTTAACGATCATAGAGGTTGTAATTAGTATCCTTCAATGAAAACAAAAATGCCAAAACCATTTCATCACTATAATAGTCATCAAGAGGCTACATTAAGTTTTGTTTTTGTCCAATATTATGAATTTAACAAACTTTATTTTCATTTCAATTCACAAACTATTCCAACAATCCCCCACTTAGTTTGTGAATGACATAAATAAACTAACATACATAAACACCATGCATAAAGATAAGTATCGTTAGATTTAAACTTTTCTTCTAGTGTTAGTATATCATTTTGAACTAATCAAATCATGGTTGTTTTTAAAATATTAAACCAAGATTTATAAATTAGCCTAGAAATACCACACACATGGCATATAAATATTTGATCAATTCACAAAAATTTAGCACTATTAACGCCCATGCGCTCCATCACAGTTTCATAATCATTTACAAAAGTAAATCATACCTTTGTTGGAAATAGCACCACTTCTATGATCATATAGGTGAATACACTTTCAAACTTTATGTAAGAAAGTACTTCGAAAGCAATTACATTTCAATAAGAATATAACTGATCATCTATTCAACCTCCCATTTTACATACTAAAGGGGTAAATATGTATACAAAGTACTAGTATTCACAATCATAAGGTGAACAAATTTATATGTGGAGTTTTTTCAAGCGAATTTTAAAGCGCTGCTGCTTTTCATTTTGAGGTAATGCATTCGGCTTACATGGTGACGTTTTTCAACTATCTTTTTATATTTCCAATTACATATTTATCTCATATGCATTTGATTATAAAAAATACTACAACAATTATTTCAAATAATACTATATTTAAACACATTTTTCAAGCCTATGATTAGGCTAGGAAATATAGACAACTAGCATGACGATTATATCAATGGTTTTAAAGGGCAAATATTTTCATGAATAATAAGAAGTGGTGGTAAATGCACACCATATGAATAATGATTTTCATGAACAATAAGAAGTGGTGATAAATGCACACCATATGGATAATACTCCCATAAGTTTGAGTAAGGGGTCCATGGATGAAGATAGCAAGTTAGATTTCAAATAGTAACTAAATCTTTAATTTTTTATTGGTACAAAAAAAATTGAAGCAAAATAGCTATTAAATGCTGACTTTGATTTACTAGAAATATCGACCTATTCTATTCTTTTAGTTCGGTGGAAACAAAATCTCAACTAACTTTAAACAAGATTAAGTACTAATAGCCCACGTACTAATAAATTAACTAATAAAAGATAGGGAAAGAAAAGAAATTTGTTAAATTACATCATTAAAATGAGTTGGAGCACTCAATTCATCAATTTAGAACTCATTTTCATTCTTTATGACCACTATTCCCGAACAAAATAACCTATAATAGTCTATTGCTAAATTTTTGCACATAGTTTGATAAATTCTCTCTTTTTTAGAATTTTTGATTGATTAGTTACTCGTGTACCATCACGCAACTTATTTTTTTGTTCAATGTTAACCCCTATTTGCTCCTTTATTAAAAAAAATGAATTTAATAAATACGTGATTGCACATGATTGATTCCCTTAGTAATTGTGAATATCCTTCAATTGTTCTAAATCTACTTCAAATTAGAAACATTAAGGCTCATATTTGTTTTTGATGAAACCATAGGGACTAAAAAAGAAGCCACACTTAATGCCAAATATTATAGATTAGATTTGCTTTCGTTGAAACGTTAGGGATTAAAATCGCATAGGTACCAAATATTGGGAACCAAAACTGCATATCTCCTTTTTTTTTCTACTTTTTTTTTTTTTTGGGTGTCCCGCAGGGAGTGGATCCCGCAGACTATTCCCCACCCTCCACAACTTGCTGGCAGCAAGGTTCGAATTAGGGACCTAAGGCTCCATCTTCAGCAACCTCAACCGCCAGACCAAGCCCCGGAGGGCTCAAAACTGCATATCTCCTTGTTGCACTATGTACACTTATAATTTTTAAGGTGATTGCAAATAAACATCATTGGTTCATTTTTATGTACACAAAGTCTAAAATTCTTCTTTTGATTTCAAATAATACTTCATTTCATAATGTATGTTTTTGCGGTTTAAAGTAGGGAATAACTAATCACTTGTCAGAGTTAGGAGACAATATAAAGAGACAAAGTGGAATTTCTCCTACTTTATCTAATAAGAAATGTTATTTACTAGGCTCAAACTCAATTAAGGCCTGACTTGTTCACATGTATAATTATATATATATAATATACATATAATTGCATATTAAATGATATATATATAATTATATATATTTTAACATTAAAAAATGAATACTTTATTTACAAATTCATTATAATTCATAAATATTAATATATTATATATAATTATGTAGTTAATAATAAGTTTGGACTGAACCCGATATAAGCCCAAAATTCATATTAAATAATGAGTTGAAATGCCCGAAAGCCCAATTTATATTTTAAAGCTTGGGCAAGTCATAGTCCAGTTCATGGAGCTGGACTGACTTTCCTGAACCTATTAACAAGAACTCCCTTGATCACTTGACCAACGTTAATAATCTTAAATACATGTATTGACTACCTTGTTAATGAGAAAAAAAAAAAATAGAGCAAAAGTTCAAACTATATGTGGCAAGGAAAAATTAGAAGGTGAGTTTTTTAAGATATAATGGAGCTTATACTCATTGGTTGAGTCACACCTATAATTCAGAAATTTCTTAAGCCTTAAATTTATTCTGAATTATTCCTTATTTTTTAGTTGGAATTCGATTATGGATAAAAGAACTTCCTATGTAATACTATTCCATTTTTTTATGAGGAATCGGTATCTAATGCATTCACCGATTTCAGTATAAAATGAAGGAAATGAATAGTTGAATGGTCGATTCCCTTTTTTTTTTTTTTTTTTGGCCGTCTTAATTTTCGCCTCTCCGAGGCCGAGGAGAAAGGAGGCTTAGCAGGTAGAGGGGTGTGCCATGAGAGACCCAACCCCAAAAAGACTAAAAGAAAATCGTGTACAGGTTGCAAGTTTGATTCACCAAGGATGAGGGTGAGTATCACTTTTGATCCTCTTGAGGGAGGGAGGGAGATGATGGCTTCTTTGATTTGTGATTCTTTAAAAGTCACGTTGAGACCTTTTAGATTCACCAAATTGGTTAAGGCACGAAAAATAACAAATTAAAGCCTTGCTTAACAACTTAATAAAACAAACAAAAGAAAAAAAAAATCATACTTTATTTGAGCTTAAAAAAAAAATCATACTTGATGCCTGCATGTTTCCTGCGCCTTGTCAATTGAAGATACTCTGCCATCTTGGAAAGTTGAGAATTCAGAAATATGTGAACTGCCTCCAAAAATAGTTAAACAGATCTAGTTGCCAGAATGCCAAACATTCTTAGTATACAGGTAGTCAAATTGTTATTCAATCCTCTAAAGAAGAAAAGAAGCAATAGCTCCTGCAAATATGAGGAAAAACTCAGGGGTTTCAAGGACAACCAGACAATCACCTTTAGATTGAAACTCAAACCCTCCAAGCCATTCCCAAGAGAAACCAGTGAACTTCATGACACATTTATGACCCTTGCCTCCTTTAAACATAAGAAAATAAAGAAAATAAAATAAACCACCGAAATGCATCAAGATTGCAATTCTAGAACTCTTCTCATTAAAAGGGGGACACCCAAACTTGCAGGATGAATATCATTCATCACAATAACACACAACTCTATGCCTTTCCATGGTCAAGGACAAACCATAACTGACAGCAATACAAAAAGGGAAGGATCAAGCAGCATTGCGTAATATAAACAATAGACATGCAAATGTCCTGGACAAGTGATCATTCAGTAAATTAGTTTTAACTAGTGGACGCATATTTACGAGCAGAAATGCCGAAGTTCTTCAAAAAAGCATTGCAATTCCATTCCAGCTCAGATTTAGATGAACATGATCCAACAACCAACGAAATACGATCCAATTCACAAATGCCTTGGACCGGTATCTCAGGACAAATGTCTTTCAACTTAAAGCAGGCTTTGGATTGGATGTTAGACCAAAGTTCATCTAGGTTGGGGTTTCCTTCAGATGCAACTTGGTGGGTGCCATGAAGGCTCTATCTTGTGTAGACAAAATTGCAGCAGCCCCACTAGATATAAGCATCTACTAAAGTAAGACAACCGACTCAAACACTACAAGAAATTTTCCAATTTAATTAGAAATGGAACTAGAGGCAACCAACTCAATAACCAAGACCTACTAACCGACTAACGAAGTAACGAAGTCTGCCAAAGACAAAGATTAGTTTGCAAATTGCAATCACTCAAGATTACTGATAACACTTGGACAACATCGTAAACTTTGACAAAAAAGCTAAATAAAGAGATCAATTAAGCTAGTTCAAATATTCCAACACCACTAATCAAGGTATTTACCCATTTCATTAATGCACCGATAAGACCACAGCAGGAACATACAATTATTCAGGGGCAATGTGCCCCATAGTTCCCTGGACTCGACTTGCAATCTGGTAATTTTGTATCCACCGAAGAAAGCTTCCAAGTTTCATCCAGATGGATGTTTCCGGGCTTTAAATCAGGGTGAACAATTTTACCATTGCAATGCTCATGCAGGTACTCCAGGCCATGTGCTGTATCAAAAGAAATTCTTTTCTAGTACGCCAGTCCAGGCCTTTTTCTCCAGGTTTGAGGTCTATCACAGGCGCAAATAGATACTTTACAATTACTGAAAGGTCATTCATATCACTCCAGATCATGCCCAATCATTACTAGCAAAAACAACAAATATCTCTCAATTCCACCTCAGTGACCAATAATACCTTGTCAAACAATTTTATGACAAACAAATAATGGTTACTGGTATTCAAGATACACATTCACTATTTCCATTCTATGCTGAGTATCTTTCCAGCAAATAATTCAAATTTACTGCATACCGTAAGAATGAATATTGTAACAAAATTCTTCACAAACTGAACCAGCCACACAGAATAGATGCTACTACAAAAATCCCATTTACAGAAAACTTTTATCACAAACTTCTTTCCTGCATTCAGAAACAAAGATTAGTTTTTGCGTCTAACAATTTGGATGTTGCTGCACAAAATTGGGAATCCTCCTCTAAAGCCATTAGAAAAGATAATTAAGTTGTCCACAGGACAGTTACTGAACATGAATTGAACCGTTGTAAAACAGATCTCTTACATAAAACTTCAACGCAAGACTTGTCATTCAATGTTTGTCACTGAGAAATAAAATAAAATAAATTAAAATTAAGACTTGCTCTTAATTTTCTCACAATTCAATTTGAACAAACGTTATCTAAGACGTAGTTTGAAGTTAAAAAATTTTCCCTGATTTAAAAAATTAGTCTTGATCACTTCAGCCAATTCCTTTCACATAATATTCATCATAACTATTTCCATATGTTTCAATACCTAATAAATTGTCTCTATCAAGTCTGAGCTGACGTCAAATCTTCACACTCTGCAATACAAATTCCACTCCTCCCCCGTTCCACCAAAAATGAACAAGAATTTAAAATCCAAAATTGATAGATATGGAACTTGCTAGACTAGAAAAAGTATCTTAGTACCATTCTGATGTGCCAGTAAGACTTTTTTCTTTTTCTTAGTTTTATTGCAGATGGTGACCCCATAGCAGCTGTGCAATAAAAACCTATTCTTTAGTTATTATTGCAACTCAGGAAAAACCAACTATTAATATTAAAGAATCCAATAATCAAGCCTATTGTCAATAAACAACTAAACAACACATGGATTTGTTTAAAAAAAAGGACGGAGAGTTTCTTGGATGAACTATTCAAGGTTACTGCAAAAGAACGATATTTTTGCTACACTTCTACTGAATGTTTGTATAATTTAGTACAGCAATGACAATTAACGGGAAGTGATCAGAACACTTTTTTTGGATCATACTTAAAAAGTTTGGGTTTACTCAAATGCAGTTAAAACAAATCAATAACTTAAAAGTTTGGGTTTACTCAAACGCAATTAAAACAAATCAATAACCATGCCTATTTATGGGACCTCAAACTGTGAATCCAAAGCAAGAAACTGGTCTAGAAAGTTTTTACACTTTCGAACTGGCTGCACTTTTGGCACCATTTAGGAATTAAAATAAAAGTAACAATTTTATCTTTGAAAAAGTTTTCTCAAAATTACAGAAATGCAGCTTAAAACTTCTCTAGAAATTCAAAGTCACAAACTATATTTGCATATGCCATTTCATTTCTTATTTCCAATAAAATCAAATATTAGTTATCCGAAGCAAAATTGACAGGCAAGGTAAATTACGGACACACATGAATAATGAACAAAATGAACCTGTACAAGTTACCATTTAAGTGATATGCCACACTGAGGTTCTCCATGGAAAGATCAACAAGAAGTCTCTTAGAAGAAGTGGTACAAGTCCAATTAACAGCAGCAGATTTCTTTGATCTGCCACACTTGTCAATTGAACTTCCCTAAGCAATGCGGCTTCTCCACCAAACTAAAGACCTTGGAGGTGATTCACAAAATATGACCAAGAGATCTCCTCTAAGGCTCAGTTGCATCAAAGATGATAAGTGACAACAGGATACAATTCGAACCTAAATAATGTTAGTTCCAGCAAATTAAAGTTCAAAGGCCAAAATAAATGGCAGGACTAACATGTTGCAACTAATGTGAAGGTCCTCTTCGTTCCCCATCTATGAACTTCTTGCTATCGGGATCAATCTTCAGCATCAACATTAGCACAGAAGGATTGTTCTGACTCTCAGCAGATAAATCAAGTAAAATGGAAAAGGTATGTGCATCCAGCGGGAATCCTCTATGAACCATTTCTTCATGATAGACCATCGCATCATCATAATGACCTCCCTTAAGGAGTCCTCGCAGTATAACATTGTACGTCAAATCATTTGGCAGGCAACCCTTCCCCTCCATCTTTTTAACAAGCTCTTTAGCTTCGATGTGCAGACCTTCTGAAAGCAGGCCAGCAATCATGGTGTTGTATGTTTTGACATCAGGGTCCAATCCTTTAAGGAAGAGACTGTTGAAAAGATGTCGGGCACTATCGAGCCTCGTGCATTTGCACAACCCATCAAGCATGATAGTGTACATTTCCATGTGAAGATCTGTTCCATCGGCTTCCATTGCATGGAATAACTGCAATGCTTCGTCAACATGTCCAGTCTTGCATAATCCATCCAACACCACACAGTAAGTATGAAAATCAGGCTTCATGCCAGAAGCTTGCATCTCGTTGAAAATTTCTCGTGCACTAAGATACCTTCCTGAACTAAATAACCCCTGCAAGACAGTGGTATAAACAACAATATTAGGTGTTAAACCTTTATGCTGAATCTCTCGAAAGAGATTCATGGCTGCTTCCATTTTCTTGGTCTTGAAATAGGCATTTATCAGAATACCATAGCTATGGAGATTGGGTGTAAGGCTGCTAGCAGCCATGGTATTGAAAACTCTCCTTGCGTCATCCATTCGGCTCTGTAAACAGTACCCATCCATTAAGGAATTGTAAGTGACCAGATCGGGATCTTGACCTTGCTGGATCATGTTCTGGACTAGCTCTTCAGCATCTTCTATATGCCCTTCCTTACACAGTGCATCCACCACTATATTGAAAGTAAAAACATCTGGAACAATTTTATAAACCTTCATCTCAGCAAAGAGCTTGTCAACGTCCTTCCATCTGCTTAAGTTGCACAGACCTTGAATCAAACAACTGTAAGTGACAACATTTGGTGGAATGCCCTTTTCAATCATCTCCTGCAAGAGGGCAAGAGCTTCAACAACCATTTTATCCTTGCACAAGCTGTCAATGATTGTACTGTACACATAAACGTCGGGCTTACATCTTCTTCTTTTTTCCATGACTCTTAGGAATTCAATGGCCATTTGAATGTTCCCCACCTTACAGAGCCCATCTATCACAATCAGAAACATAACTTCATCAGGCTCGCAAAGTTTTTCGCGTATTATCTTCTTAAACAATTCTTGTCCCTGGGGGACCCTATGTTCTCGAAAGAGTCCTTTGAGTAGAGTATTAAAGGTGACTACATTAGGGACAAGACCACGCTTCAAGAAAGCAGCCAACACAGTAAACCCCAAATCCACTCGACCCAAGAGGCGGTAACAATTAATCACAACATTGAGGGTGGCCTCACGAACAGGAATGCCCTTGACACACATATCTCTAAAAAGGGAAATAGCAGATACATAATGATTCTTCATCTTAACAATACGGTCCAGCAATTGATTGAACTGAATAACACAAGGCAGAGGCCTCATCCGGACCATCTGCCGGTACAAGCTCAGAGCATCATCAAGACTGTCGACATTATTAATATCATTCCTCAATCCCGGTTGAAATTTCAGAGCTTTTCCAGAAGAACTCTTAACTTTGCCACTAATAGCAGAATAAAGAGCGAACTGGGGTTTAGGGCTTGGGAATGCAGAGAGAAATGAAGCAACAGGAGTACACCTAGCAGTAGCCGTGGTACCTACTGAAGCCGCTGCTTCCTGAGACTGAAGAATGGAAAGAATTATGGCAGAAGAAGCTCTTCTCCGCATCGCCATTATCTTCTGCTCCTACAGAATTAATCACGTGTTAATTGTTTAACGGCTTTGCAATTGGTAAAATTAGTTTCACCTCCGATATCACCCCCTCTGATTTGCTTTCTTTCTTTCTTTCTTTCTTTTTACTTTTTACCTCCGATTTTTCTCTCCTGTGTAGCTTTTCAAATTTTCATGGGTGGAATCTATGAATCAGATTAGTATTTATAGTTTTTGCAAAGTGGAACGAAAATTGTTTTTGTGCTTTATTTATCGGTAATAAAAAATGGCATAAATTTAAATACTTCGCTTGTAAAAGTCTACTGGGAGAAGATTAGATAAGTGTGCTAACAAATTTCAGTTTAAATATGAAATTTCTACTCGACACTTTTAAAACCAACAGTTGAATTACTTGCCTTATGATTATTTTAAAATTTGAAAATATCAATCACTTATTTCTTTTTGTCATAATTTTCTTTTGCTTATTTTTTTGTCCAAATTCAATTCGATATAAACACTTGATAATATTTAGGATTAAATGTTTTCTTTATTTTCAAATTTCGAGTAAAAAAAATGAATATAAGTGAAAAACTAACAATTTTTTAACCCATTTATATATCTATTTAATTTCACTTGAGCAGTATGAATAGTATATAATATATCTCTATTTGATTTCACATGCTATTCGTACTGTTTCAGGTGAAATCAAATAGATATATACATAGATTTAAAAAAAATTATTCACACACATGATTAATAAAAAGATGAAAAAATTCATTTTGAAAAATGTTAAGGATGAAAAAATTTATTTTGTGAAATGTAAGGGACGAACAAATTTATTTTATGAAATGTGAAGGATTATGAATCGAATTATATAAAATTTAATTTGATAACTTTGCCCCTTAAAATATGATCACGTGCAAGACACGTGGTGAATTCCGACCAAAAGCTAGTTGGAAATCTAAGTAGGGACCAAATTTGAGTATTTGACCAATGTGAATTTGTAAAGGATGTAAAATTATATTTTTAAAAGTGAGGGACGAAAAAAGTTATTTTACAAAATATGAGGGACGTTTTGAACGATTTTCCCTAAAAAAATATATAGAAGTTCAACCAACCATTTAGTCAAGGTTTCAGAAAGTAATGCTTACAAAATATATCGTCGTTAGAGTTGAATTTGTCTGTAAGGGAAGATTTGTAACTTGTGCATGTTTACGACTTTACCACACAAATACACATGGACCCAAGTAAACAACCATTATAATTGCAATTTTATTTAAACAATCCAAATATTGATTTAAAGGATATAAGGTTGGTAATTGAGATTTGAGAGAAAGTATTACAAAATTTTTGTTGAGGGTAGAAAGTACAATTAAAGCTTTTTTTTTTTTTGTTGATTGTAACACGAAATAAGTAAAAACCCAAATGCTCAGTTCATCCCATTGATCATTTTCAATGAAATGTGTCACCTAATAAAAAAAAAGAAATTTGTTAGTTGCATATTGTACAATTTACATACATGCATACACACAAACGTATCCACACAGACTAGAGTTCTGGCTTAAATTGTTGAACCAAAATTGTTTTGCATCGTTAGATATATAACTTACATGTTTAAGAGAAAAGAGCAAAAAAGGAAAAAAAGGAGTATGTGGTTTTCCATTTTTGATTGTATATAATACAGTTTCTTAGTTGAAAAAGACAAATGTAACATCTAAGTCCTTGATTACATCTCTCTCTTTGTCTATTTATTTTTTCACATTCAAAAGCAAATTACTGGTAGGTAGCCAAAAGTATTTTAACCTCATGCAGATCAATAATATATGATGCTTAGCAAAGTTGGCCATAAAATCTCTACTATAACAAACTCTCTACCAGTTATGGTGTTTGAAAAAAGGTGTAACTAAATGTGTTTTTTGTTACCCATTAATTGTAGTTCAACATCTTCATGTTCAATTATCACATTAAATTAACCACCACACTTACTAGACTTCCTTGTCCTCCCAACATTGTTTTGTTCTCATTTTCTATTTTATAATTAAAAGCATAAAAATGTTTTAGTTGACATACTTAATAAATCATATGCCTTTTTTTTGTCCTATTTTGACATCATTCTTTATCTTATATCACATGCACATTGTTAAGAAAATAAAACAAGAGAATAGAACAGTGCCGAAACTTTACTAACAAATTTCACAAAGATAGGAGATTTGTTGATGATTCTTGAGGCATATACAAACACTATTCTTAAGGTGTTTATTGCCCCCAATATACTTAATAGTTTGCTTATGGGTTAAAGCAATACACCTCTAGGATACAACAAGAATGAAGAGCTTTTGACAGCAAAACCAAAAGATCTTTTGCTAAAAAAAGGATCAAAATAGTTAAGTTAGTTTGTTTTATTAAAAACTTGTCATTTATATAGGAAAGACAATCCAAATGACATCAAAACTAAAAAGCGACAATTTCCTCACTTCAATGATCATCAAGAGGCTGCTTTAGTTTCCTTTAATGGGCAAAAATACCAAAACTATTTTCTCACTATAATGATTATCAAGAAGTAATTAGTCTCCCTCAATAAAAAACAATGCCAAAACCATTTCCTCACTATAATGGTCATCAAGAGGCTATATTAAGTTTTTTTTTTGTCCAATATTCTGAATTTAACAAGCTTTATTTTCATTTCAATTCACAAGCTATTCCAACAATCCCCCACTTAGTTTGTGAATGACATAAATAAACTAACATATATAAACACCATGCATAAAGATAAGTATCGTTAGATTTAAACTTTTCTTTTAGTGTTAGTATATCATTTTGAACTAATCAAATCATGGTTGTTTTTAAAATATTAAACCAAGATTTATAAATTAGCCAAGAAATACCACACACATGGCATTTAAACATTTGATCAATTCACAAAAATTTAGCACTATTACCGGCCATGTGCTCCATTTTAGTTTCATGATCATTTACAAAAGTAAATCATACCTTTGCTAGAAGTGACACCACTTCTATGATCCTACGGGTGAAAACACTTTCAAACTTTATGTAACAAAGCACTTCGAAAGCAATTATATTTCATTAAAAACATAACTGATCATATATTCAACATCCCATTTTATACACTAGTGGGGTAATTTTCTATACAAAGTACTAGTGTTCACAATCACAAGGTGAATGAATTTATATGTGAAGTTGTTTCAGGCGAATTTTAAAGCGCTATTGTTTTTCATTTGAGGTAATGGCTTCAGCTTACACGGCGACATATTTCAACTATCTTTTTATTTATATTTCCAGTTACATATTTATCTCACATGCATTAGATTGTAAAAAATACTACAACAATTATTTCAAATAATACTAAAAGTAATAACATCTGGAACAATTCTATATGCCCTTCCTTACATAGTGCATCCACCACTATACTAAAAGTAATAACATCTGGAACAATTTTATAAACCTTCATCTCAGAAAAGGGCTTGTCAACGTCCTTCCATCTGCTTAATTGCCTGGACCTTGAATCAAACAATTGTAAGTGAGAACATTCGGGGGAATGTCCTTTTCAATCATTTCCTGTAAGAGGGCAAGAGCTTCATCAACCATTTTATCCTTGCACAAGCTGTCAATGATGGTACTGTAAATAATTGCATTAGGTTTACATGGTCTTTTTTGTTGTTCCATTGCTCGGAGGAAGTCAATGGCAGTTCCAGTGTTTCCCTTCTCACAAAGTCCACGTATCACAATCCAAGACGTAACTTCATCGGGCTCACAAAGTTTTTCATATATTATCTTTTTGAACAATTCTTGTGCCTGGAGAGCCTTATGTTCTTGAAACAGTCCTCTGAGTGGAGTATTAAAGGTGACTGACTACATTTGGCACAATGCCAGGCTTAAAGAATCCACCCAGTACAGAAAACCCCAAATCCACTCGACCCACCAGACAATAACCATTAATCACAACATTGAGAGTGCACTCATCAACCACGATGCCTTTGACGCACATATCTCTAACTAGGGGAAAAACAGAAGAATAATGATTTTTCATCTTTGCGATTCGGCTTAGCAGTTGATTGAATTGAATAACACAAGGCAGAGGCCTCATCCGGACCATCTGCTCTACAAGCTCAGAGCATCATCAAGACTGTTGATTTTATTAATATCATTCCTCAATCCAGATTGAAATTTCAAAGCATTTCCACACGACGCTCTAACTTTACTACTACCAGCAGAATAGAAAGCTAATTGGGGCCCTAATGCAGAGAGAAATGAAGCAACGGTAGTACAAGCAGTAGTACCTAATGAAGCAACAGTAGTACAAGCAGTTGGGATCCTTTATGCCATTACTTAATGCCAAATTCAGTGTCAATCTCACTTACCACGTGATGGTAGAAGAAATTTAAATAAACAACATATGGCAAATTGAATAAACAGGACATTTGACATAAATATAGAAGTGGCACTGAGTTGTCACTGAAAAAGTGACACTGACGATCCCGTGTACCCCTTTCCACCCCCAACTTCCATGTTTAATTTATTACGTCAAATTAACCACCACTTAATAGACTTCCTTATCCTCCTAACTAGGGATGGCAATGGGGCGGGGGTGGGGCGGGGGACACCTCCCCTAATCCCTGCCCCGTTGCATTTTAATACCCCCACCCCCGCCCCGTCCCCAACCCCGGCTTCCCCCACCCCGCCCCCGCCTCGCTTCCCCCGCGGGGGCACCTATGGGGTTAAAAAATTTTTATTATATAACTTAATTATAATAAAATTTGAACAAATAATCAAGTACTAAAATATCAATACATCACCAAATTATTATTCATTGTAACTTCACAATTGAAACTCATAAAAATAATTAAACAAAGATTATTTGAATACAATCTAATATAATAAAACAAATATAACTAAAATAATCAAGTTTTCACTTTTGATACAACTACAATTACTAAATTATTATTGTGTTTTTTTAGAAAAAGTGTTATTGTATTAAGTGTAGTTAGGAATTTAATATAAATATATTAATAAATTTAGTATAAACAAT